GTGAAACGAGCCTCTCTGCTCGTTTCTCCAATCGTATTCGCAAACTCAAGAAATCTGCGGTAAATATCTACAGTCTAGTGGTTACGTTTCATCTAGGAATATAAGTAAAGCGACAAATGCGACAAACATCTAGTTTTTAAAAACCGTGAATCAATGTACAAGCTCAATCTGTAAACGACTGCAAAGGGCTGAGCGGAAGTTAAGCGTTTGAAATTTCGAATTTAGATACTTTAGGAATTGAAATACCCATTGGTACAAGCTCATAAGAATAGAATAGAAGAGTCTGAGGTGAATTTGTACCAATCGGTGTGCGGAGTCTCTTGTTCGTAGGTCGATGATTTCGACGATAAGTTTCTAAGTGTTTCTCACCACTTTAGAATCCAATGAATTACTGTACCGCAAATGGGAGGCATCAGGATGTTGCATTATCCGTAGAGAACCTATTTCACATAGTCGTTGCTATTGCGTGCAGCGAGTTTTAACGTTAACATTATACGGTAGATTACGCCGCCCATGCGACGGTCTTTGGTTCGGCCGTTAGCAGATTGCCAAAAAGAAAAAAAAAGAAGAAAAAGAAATATGAAAAAAAACGCAAAAAAAAGAACAAAAGGATACTTTCCTCGTACGTTGTATGAAGGCGTGAGAAAGTGGGAGCACAAAATCTTAGAATCTTTTAAAGAAAATAAAAACAGCGTAGATAAGAGAAGAGAGAGTAAGTGAGGATCGCGTGAAAGGTAGATCCATACCTCTGTATGATTGTCGTATAAAAATAGGGAGAAAGAGGAACGAGAGAAGGAAGCTGGCGTGAGGAGAACACGATTTTTCCCGCTCTATCATTAACTGTATTAACATACACATTTAGCATAGTGGAAAGTAAGCTACGTTTTTAGCGTAATATCGACGGAAACACAGATATCATCGTTGTTGTATGTATGGGAAATTGAGGAACCGTGATGTCCTTTTCCTTCCTCCTTTTTTTTTTTCATTGTCTAAGAATGTTAAAGAAACATGTAATAATCGATTGCTGTGTGTGGACACGCAAGACTATTTTATCCGGTTGACTATATTAACCATGTCTCGTAACGAAAAATAAACAGAGTCGTATGAAAACGAGCCCGGAGAACGAGTGCCGTGTATAGAGATTCGTGTCAATCGGTCGCGAATCATTGAAAATGATAAATTACGATTGTCGCGTGCCGTCGAAAGGCACCGCGGAAACCAATTTTTCTGGTGCTATTTTTATATGGGATACGTAGCGACGATTTCATGTCGGGCACTCCTTCTCTACATTTTTCTGAACGTGTCGTATAAAATATGACATGGGGACTTTGAACCGTTGTGAAGAAGGAACACTCTTTTTACCGCCTTCTAGAAACCACGGGACATAAGTTGAGAGTTTTCTATCATTCTTGCGCTCAGTTTACCTTTCGATAATCTACGTTCTCAGTTTTGTTGGATCGTGTCTGTTATTACAAAATTTCAGCAATATCTTAGGAATATTTAGAAATGTCTGCCTCTTATTCATAGTAGTCGAATTTATACGGTACAATATTTTTGTAGAAATTTATTCCAGAACAATATTTTTTAAAAATTTATTCCAGGCTAATATTTTTTAGAAATTTACCCCTAACATTTGGTACAGTTCTAGTAATAATAAAAATAATGTGTATATTTTCGATAGTAGGTTCGTATGCATTGCATTAATAACATAATCCTGTTGAATCACACACTGCTGCAAAATCGCAAATAGTGAATGGAAATCTTTAAATTTAATTCAAAGATTTAACAAAAGTTGTCTCATTAATTTATAGATTTCTTACATGATCTTAAATGAATTTATGTCATTCAAATAGCAATATACGAGCTTTAAACTCATTAAACACTAGTGAATTATTGCCTTCTATACAACTAAAATTTATTACAATTAATATAGACTAAAATAATTAATTTTCTATACTTTGATTTGTTTCAACATATCAAAATATATTAAAAAATTAATTATTTTAGCTTACGATTTCGATTTCGAGCATATATCGTCTGCATCAAGCCTAAATATTTCGATAGAAGAATAAAGATCGATTTAATAAATATGTAGTTCTCTAAGTAGTATGAGAATTTAAATGACAGATACGGCTTACACTTGAAGACGTAGATTATCATCAGGTGATATACGCGTTTAAAATGATTTATTATATAATTAAAGATATTTATACTTTGAAAAGGTATCGTTCAAGAGTTTCCTTGCATTTTCTTATCTGCTCAATATCTTCGAAACGCCCATAACGTTGAGACATGGGTGTTCTTTTTCGTTTCTTTTGCTGAACTTCAGCAGCCATTCCATCGGAATTGTTTCATAGAAAACCACGTAAGGAATCAAAGATATTGTTGGATTCTCCGTGACTCTCTAAAAAACGTATTCCGTTCCGAAGAATGTCGAATCTTTGATCGGAGATGTGCAAGTATGCGTATGTGGTGTATGCCATCAACTATGGTGTTTTTACGATTCACCGATTGTGTTTGTTAAAATTAATTATTATTATTATTATTACTATTACAATGATTATTATTATTATTATTATTATATTATAAAATGAGTGTATCACAGTTTAAATATATCTATTTTATATTAAATCATCAACACCGTGGATTCATTGAAAAGATACTCTGCACAAATATTTCAGATATATAAAATACTTTTATCATAATTAAAGACCACAGGGGAAAGGCTTGATAAGCACAATTTTGTTGTAAAAATTTTTCTTCTTGATTTTTATTTAAAAGGATGTACCTTGATATAACATACTTAAAAAGAGAAAGAACGTATTCAGTACAAAGATGCAAATAGCCATCGAAGACGAAGCTATAAAGTTAAAAATGAATTTTTCTTTAGAACTGAGGTATCGATAGTCTTTTGGCAAATATTTTTCAAGAGAACCGCACAAACAAATTTACTAGAAAGGCAGTTTTGGTAATGTATAATTGATTGATATTGAATTCTAAGATTGCTCTTGTGTGAAAAACAAAAATATAATTTACTGTATCTTTTGCCTGTGGTCTTGAATTAGCATATACATAGTTTACACAGGCATATTACAAGATGCATTAACATTCCATAGCTGTTCAACGTGTTTCAGATAAGGCTTAAAGTTTCAGGCTTAACGATAACGATCAGTCACTGTCCACTCGATTCCTATCATCAACAATTAATTCTGTTATCTTTACCCCATTTACGCATCACTCGAATGATCTGTTCCACTTGTGAGTTCGAGGTATTCTTCAAAACCTGTACGACCTCAGGTAAGAGCTCTCTA